CCGTCAAGTTTGACGGTTTAGGGGATAACGCGCAATCAAAAGTATAATACAAGGGGGTATGGCGCAATTTTTAAAATACAGGGGGATAACGCGCAGATTTCGTATAATACATGGGGGTTTGGCGCAATTTACCCAAAACGAAAGTGAAAGAAATTAATTATTAATTAATTAATTACGCAGAAAACTGTATCACATCATTATTACAAAGACTTAAATTTGGAAATAAATCAAAACTTCCAATTTGGAAATCACACAACAGCCTATAAATAACCCCCAACTCTCGATCTTAATGCCCACGAAACCACCAAACTTCCAATTTCATCTTCAACAAATTTCTCACGGCCATGGATGACACGACGATCGCCGCCGCAGTAACAAGCGCCGCCGCAAAGAAAACAAAGGGGCGGCGGAAGCTGGAGATGAAGAAAATCGGGAAGAAGCTGTTGGTTTGTTGAGTGTGATTTGCATGGAATCTGTTTTACATGCAAGATGGTTTTCTAATTCTATGTTTTAGCTGTTAAGTGAAAGTGCTTCTCACTTATAAAAACGTTTTGCGTTTTTTTTCCTTTTCTTAGCTGCGTTATTTTGTTCCCTCAGCTCACGTGTAGACGAGTGTGTGTCGCACGTGTTGCTTGCTTATTGGCCTTTATGAGTACATCGTGTTCCTTAGGGTATTAGTAATGAACATGAAAAATGTATGTCCTCCTTAGAGCTTGAAGCTCAGATTTTAATGGAGTTTTGAATATTTTTCCTACTTTCGCCTACTGTTCATTTTCATCTTATTATTTTTAGCTGAATCTTCATGGTATCCAGAGCGGGTTAAGAAATGGCGCGTAATAACATCGATCAAGCTCGCGAGCTAACAGCAAGGGGAAATTATGCTCGTGATATAGATCCGCTTTCCTTACATGGATCGAACCACCCTGGGATGGTTCTTGTCACTAATCCACTGACTGGTGCAAATTACCTCCATTGGAGCAGGGCGATGAAGCTTGCCTTAGGAGCAAAATCGAAACTCGGTTTTATCAACGGCACAATACAAATTCCAGATCTAGGTTCAGAAGAACATGATCAGTACCAGAAGGTAGAATTTATGGTAATTTCCTGGCTTCTCAACTGTATTTCGAAAGACATCGTAGAAGCTTTTATGTGTGTTAAAACTGCCAAGCAACTTTGGGATGATTTAGCTGAAAGATATGGTGAGAGCAATGGACCGCTGAGGTATAAATTGCAGAAGGAAATCGCTACTTTTGTACAAGGATCAATGACTGTTACCACATACTACACAAAGCTAAAATGTTTGTGGGATGAATATTCTTCTCTTAGATCAGTACCTGAGTGTGATTGTGGGGCTGGAAAAGTTTTTTTTGAGCTGGACATGGAAATGAAACTCATGCAATTTCTCATGGGTTTAAATGAAGTTTTTGAGCCTGTCAAGAATCAGATATTGTTACTTGAACCTCTCCCCACCATTAACAAGGCCTACTCTATGTTATTGAAAGTGGAGAAGCAGAAAGGCCTATATGCTGGAATGAATCAATTTGAAAACTCAGCTATGCTAGTGAAGAGTAGTTTTGGGAGAGGAACAGGTAGAGGACAGAACTTTGGACGTGGTAATGGAGGAAGGAATTTTTCTGGACAACAATTTAACAATGGTGGTAGAGGAAGAAATATACCAAGGCTGTCTAAGGAAGAAAGGGCTAAACTTCTTTGCACTCATTGTGGATACAATGGTCATGACATCCAAAGTTGCTTCAAACTCAATGGCTACCCAGATTGGTTTAAGGAACTAAGGGAGCAAAGGCAGAACCAAAATGTTAACATGGCAGAAAAGGAAGATTCATCAAGGACAGATTCTGAAACAAGATCTCAACATAGTGATTCTTCAGCTGACATTGGTATGCTCATACAAAAGGAGGTAGCTAAATACATGGTTAGTCACCAGAACTCAGAGATACAATCTTACTCTCACTTTGCTGAGCTGGTGGATGATTCAGAAGACTATGCCTTTTCCATGACAAGCAAGATTGCCAAAGGAAGTTGGATCATAGACACAGGGGCCAGCAAACATATCTGCTGTGACATTGACTTAGTTTGCAGAAAGACAATGATGATTACTCCAATTCTAGTGAATCTGCCTAATGGTTCTCAAGTGAAAGTCACACAAATGGGTGAGGTGAATTTCAATAATCAAATTGTACTTAAGGAGGTTTTGGTGATACCAGAATTCAGATTTAACTTGTTATCTGTGGGGCAATTGGTTGACAAGAATGGTCTATCTTTCACTTTCACAAACAAGGACTGCAGATTGGTAGATACAAAAGAAAATTCAATCATTGCATTGGGAAAAGCAGTAGGAGGACTATATGTCATTGAAACAAAAGAAGTGCTTGCTAATGCAGTTGATGGAGAATTGCATGACAGTGAACAGTTATCCCTATGGCACAGAAGACTTGGTCACAGTTCAGTTCACTGCCTAAGACATCTTCCTTTCATTAAGGGCACATGTTCAAAGGAAGAGCTGGGGCTATGTGACATTTGTCACAGATCAAAGCAACCTAGACTCTCTTTTCCCATCAGTTGCATACACAGCAAAGGTAAATTTGAGCTCATCCATGTAGATGTCTGGGGTCCACATCATGAAACTTCAATTCTGAACACTTCTTACATGCTTACTATAGTGGATGATTTTACTCGAGCCACATGGATATATCTTATGAAGTACAAGTCAGAAACCATTATCCACTTGAGAGCATTTTTTAAGATGATTGAAGTGCAGTTTAACTTAAAGGTGAAGCAAATGAGATCTGACAATGGAACTGAATTTGTAAATAAGGAAATGGATTGTCTGTTGAAGGAAAATGGGATAACTCATCAGAGAACTTGCCCATATACTCCACAACAAAATGGAGTTGTGGAGAGGAAACACAGGTCTATACTTGAGGTGGCTAGATCATTATCTTTTCAAGCCAAACTACCTAAGTATCTTTGGCCCTTCAGTTTGATGGCTGCAGTCCAAATTATTAATACCTTACCAAGTGATAAGCTTGGCTGGAAGTGTCCTTTTGAATTACTATATGGAATCACACCAGCCTATCAGATGTTCAGAGTCTTTGGGTGCTTATGTTATGCAAGTAGACTTGATCCTCATAAAAGAAAATTTGATGAAAGAGCTATGGCTTGTGCATTTTTGGGTTATGTGTCAGGGACAAAGGGATACAGGGTTTATAACTTGGAGAAGAGGGAAGTCTTCATCTCAAGAGATGTGATATTCTATGAGCACAAATTTCCTTTTCACACATTGGCAGCAACTGATCTTGAGCATCAACATGATATTCCTTTGCCTGTTGTTGACATCAGAGATGATGTTTCTTATGAACCTCACATGGCAAGAACTGTTACTGCACCTGAACCCCCACAAACAGAAAATATACAAAGGAGAACAAGTAACAGGGAAAGAAAGCTTCCTGTTTGGATGTCAGACTATGAGAGTGCAACATCTCAAACTCAGATTCATGAATTTAACTCTTTCATGTCCACAGTGGATGAAGTACAGTCAGAACCATTGTTCTATGAGCAAGCTATTAAAGATAAGAGATGGGTGACAGCTATGAACAAAGAATTGGAGGCTCTAGAGTCTAATCAAACTTGGTGTCTTACTAAGTTGCCAAAAGGGAAAAAGGCCATAGGATCCAAATGGGTCTACAAAATCAAGAGAAATTCAGATGGGAGCATAGATAAATTTAAGGCAAGATTGGTAGCAAAGGGTTACCTCCAAAGAGAAGGCATAGATTTTGTGGATAGCTTTTCACCAGTTGCTAAACTTGTCACTGTGAGATTACTTATAGCCTTGGCCACTCAAAGAAAGTGGGAGTTACACCACATTGACATCAATAATGCTTTTCTCCATGGCTTCTTAGATGAGGAGATTTACATGTTGCCACCCAAAGGATACTTTAAAGCACAGAAAGATGAGGTGTGTTTGCTGAAGAGGAGCCTTTATGGTTTGAAACAGGCCAGCAGACAGTGGAATAAAGAGTTTTCTGACAAATTACTTGCTTATGGCTTCTCCCAGTCTTCACATGATCACTGTTTGTTCTATAAAATCACAGAAACAAGGATTCTAGTGCTGCTCATCTATGTAGATGATGTCTTGATCACAGGTAACAGTTTAGAAGACATTCAACATCTCAAAAGCCATCTGGATGACCTGTTCACCATTAAAGATCTAGGTCCAGCAAAGTATTTTTTGGGTTTGGAAATTTTCAGAACCACTGATGGTACCTTTTTAAGCCAAAGAAAGTATATCCTTGATATGGTGCATGATGTGGGATTGGATGGCTCAAGACCTTCAGTCACTCCTTTACCCTCAGGCCTCAATCTATCTTCAGTAGAGTCTCCTGCCTTTGATAATCCAGAGGGATACAGGAGACTCATTGGGAGGCTTCTTTACTTGAATTTATCTCGAGCTGATATCTCTTATGCCATACAGCAATTAAGCCAGTTTGTACAAGCCCCTTTACAAATCCATTGGACTGCTGCTTTGCATTTGGTCAGATACTTGAAAGGCTGTCCTACTCTTGGGCTTTATTATTCAGCTGTTCCTTCCTTCACACTAGAAGCTTTTTGTGATGCCGATTGGGGAAGCTGTACTCTTACTCGTAGATCTTTGACTGGTTATTGTGTTTTTTTGGGTGACTCACTGATCTCTTGGAAAACGAAGAAACAGAAAACAGTGTCCAGATCTTCCGCAGAAGCCGAATACCGTTCTATGGCCACCACGGTATGTGAATTGCAGTGGCTTTCATATTTGCTTAAGGATCTTGGCTTGGTGGTTCCCACTCCCATTTCTTTGTGGTGTGATAACCGTGCTGCCTTGCACATCACGGCGAATCCCGTGTTTCATGAACGCACAAAACACTTGGACATTGATTGTCACGTTGTTCGTAACAAGTTCAAGGAAGGTTTTCTTTCTCCTCAGCATATTTCGTCATCTTTACAACCAGCAGACGTTTTTACCAAAGCTTTAGGTGGTGCAGATTTTCGGAAATTCATCTTCAAGCTGGGAATGCGTGTTCATGGCCACATTCCCGCTTGAGGGGGGGGTGTTGGTTTGTTGAGTGTGATTTGCATGGAATCTGTTTTACATGCAAGATGGTTTTCTAATTCTATGTTTTAGCTGTTAAGTGAAAGTGCTTCTCACTTATAAAAACGTTTTGCGTTTTTTTCCTTTTCTTAGCTGCGTTATTTTGTTCCCTCAGCTCACGTGTAGGCGAGTGTGTGTCGCACGTGTTGCTTGCTTATTGGCCTTTATGATTACATCGTGTTCCTTAGGGTATTAGTAATGAACATGAAAAATGTATGTCCTCCTCAGAGCTTGAAGCTCAGATTTTAATGGAGTTTTGAATATTTTTCCTACTTTCGCCTACTGTTCATTTTCATCTTATTATTTTTAGCTGAATCTTCAGTAATAGAAGAGTTCGTTTTTAACGTAGAAGTCGCGAATTATGCTTGGATTTCATTTCTAGTTAGAAAAATGCATTAGTACTGTAGTAGTAGTATTCTTGTGGGGTGGGATACAAGACAAGAGTTCGTTTAATGTAGAAATAGCAAATGATTGTTCGGTTTTGATTGCTAGTTATAACATACATGATTAATACTTAGTTGTATTCTTGTGGAGAATGTTGTTATAATGATAAATGATTTGTCTCTTATATTTGATGATATTCGAGTGTACATGATTGGACGACGAAAAAAAGTTAGTGCGAATGTGTAGTTTTTTTCATGAAGAGTTTATCCTTCACTACATTCATCTCCCATCTTTCTTTTTTCCTTTCCCCCCTTATATTTTCAGTCTTCTATTAAATTTTTCATTTATATTTTTTTTCCCCTTTTATGTTATATAGGTTCCTCGCGTCGCTCGAACTGATTACCAGCTGATTTTGACATCTCTGAAGGTGGATGTGTATGTTTACAGTTTGCAAGACTTTTCTCTTAGTTACGGATTAACTTTCTCGAATGTTTTACTTGAATTTTGCTGTCTGAAAATGGCAACACCAAAGATGATCTAAGGCTAACAAACATATCACATATTTTAAAAAACATTGCAAATTTAAATCGGTTGAGTTCCATTTAAATCACTTAAATAATTTCATGACCTAAGAAAACATTAGGTAAAATTCATCAACATATATGTTCTCCAGCAAGAGAATATTCGGCCATTTAAGTTCTAGTTTTCATTTAACACAAGGATATAGATGTTCTCCTAAATGATGGCGAACACAGAGGATTAGTATTTGACTTTAACAAAAAAAAGAAAAAGAAAAAATAGACGTTCCATTTAGTTAAGCTATCACCCTTATGAGTAATTTCTTTTTATGTTTTATGAGTGAGATATTTGTGGTGTTTTAGTCGGGCTTGGTTATTGGTATGTACTTACTTCCTTTTGTGAACACGTGCGTTGATTTTGAAGATGGTTCGTTCGTTAGGTTGGTTGTGTCTTTATCTCATTGAAATGAAAGTTGGACGATCATCGAAATTGAGTCGTTTGCATGTCTGGTTTGACACGAACATTCATTTCATCCATTTGTACTTCGAAAACTTATCGTGAGATTATACGTTTGCTGCAAGTAAGGTGTTAGATATGCTTAAAAACGAGATGCATTTGAGATACTTTGTTGGCATCTCTTTAAGGTGTACTTTTTTAGTAAAGCTCGTCGTACAAGCTTATGTAATCGTCATGTCGGTACTGCAGAATCGTCTGGCTTCACGATTGTTCTCATTTCCCTGAAGCTTCCTCGATCAAATTTTATTCCTATTGTTTTATGGTTTATTGAGCATGAAACTTTCTCTATTTTAGGGAGTATTTTTTTTTTCTTTTTTTTTGGGGCAAGTTGGATATTAAAACACTGTTAGCCTAACAATTTGTCATGGGAGTTACATGAGGATGATTTGAATGCAATCGGGTATGAATTATTAACTTTTTTCTTATTAAAAAACTAGTATGTAACCCGTGCGATGCACGAACTGTATTTACTTTGGAGAATATTAAAAATTAAAATGCATAATAAATAAAAGAGTGATAATTCGTAAAAAAATTATCAAACCATAAAATGTTTCCCATGCAAAAAAATATATTATTTAAACTTTCTTGTACACAACATTATTTGTTTAATAACTGAGCAACTCGTCGTCCCCACAAACTAATATTTTCAACACTTTTCTATTATTTACACGCGAAACAAACAACATAATTGTCCGTGACTAAAAATCAATTTCTTTAACAACATGTCAACGTACAATAAATGTTGACATTGACTCTTCTTGATCTATTACTTAACATGTCAACGTACAATAAATGTTGACCTTGACGGAACTCCATCTATCACCAATCTATTTCTAATCCAAATATTCAGTTTGAATGAATTTTCCATTGGAATTCCCATTGGATTTTGACGATTCCAACGATGGATTTTTCAACGGGTAAAAATAAAAATTCCAACGGAATTTGCATATTCAAACGGAAATTCCTACGGTAAAAAAACCATTGAAAATATAGCAGTTGAAAACATCAAATTTCTAAGATTGACACTCACTCTTGTTTAGCGTCATGACAATATAAATGAATATTTATCTAAATAACTTAATATTTGAAATGTAGTGATCATGTGCTATTTTTTTTTTTTAATTTTTCGTGATTGATGGACTCTTTTATTAATTAGTTGGTTTGAATCAATATATAACAAATTTTGTTGCCAATCGTTATTAGAGTTTTTAAGTTAATTTGTGTAAATGCATAAATAAAAAGAGACCTAAACTATAAAAATTTTTCCATCTTTTGAAATCAAATAAATGACAAACACTATCTTTTAAAATAAATAATGATAATGATTATAACATTGTATTATCAAAACCAATAAGGTATATAAAATTTGTTTTCCTTTTCATATCGATAATGAAGAAAAAAGTCTAATTGGTGAAAAGATGATATATACAAATCATGATTTTAGAAATCTGATATATACAAATTTTAGCATGCGGTTTCAAATAATATAATAATATAATAATAGGCTGAATGAATTATGATTCAGATTCATGCAAATAAAATTTTGAACATATTTCTAAAATCATGATATATACAAATCATGATTTTCTTTGGAGATTTTATTCAGATTTTCTTGGAAATCACGATGTCTAAAATCATGATTTATTCGGATTTACATTCGGATTTCCAAATTATTTGGAAAAATAAAAGATTTATTCGAATTTTGATTACATATTGTTTACCAATATAAAAGTATTTGATGTTATTAATAAAAAAAAAGGAAAAAATCTGATTTACTATTTTTAGGAGATAATTAATGATAGTGGCGGGAAATTGTTTCTAAATTTGATTTATGTTAATTCTTATTATATAGGATTAACATATATGTTAATATTTTCTAACAATTATTAGAAATATGATTGATTTTTAAAAAGAAACTTTAATTGAAAATTATTAATTAAATGTTTTATATTGTATTTTAAAAATTTT